CTCGTTACCCTTGGTGCGAAACTCTGGTACTATTCACTTGAGGAACAGAACTGACAACTCAGCTGCCAACTATTATTTTGCAAGCAGGACACGACTAGTCGAAAATGATATTTTTCCAATTAGCACAGTGGGAAACATGCGGAGCCATCCAGCAGCCTGCAATTATAGAGCTTTCGCTTGCTTCTAGAAATAGAACCAACGGGAAGTGGAGACCTGCTATCTAGGTCTTTAGCAATAATACCCTGAGAGGACAGATCTTGCTACAGTCTCAGCCATTCCCAGGAAACAACACTCTTGCTCCTTTTAATGAGTAGCGTTCTGCACCGTATCAGTGTTCTGAAGAGATTAGGAACTACCTCCATGTGGGGCTGGGGCACAGTGATAGCGCACCTGCCTGGCACGCATGAGGCACTGGTCTGATTCTTAGCACTGCATATAAATAAATAAAGGTATATCAACAACTAAAAATATATTTGAAAAAAAAAAAAAAGATCTGAATAGAAGGGGCTTACACAAAAGCCCAGTCATCAGAAAGGCGAGCTCTACCGCCAAGGCACAGCTCCAGTGCTGTGCTTTAGTATGCACCTAGACTCTGTTAATAAAGTCTCCAAAGTCTCCTCTGCCATGAAACCGAGTTTGGTACGGCCACCTCCGCCATCTCCAGCTCCTGGACTCTTTCCTGCTCTTCATATGTCTTGCTGTCTCAGGTGGATGGAAGGTTAAAGACTTCAGATCTCGGGAATAAGTTCAGTAACCTTGAGAAACTTGGAGCTAAACAGGATTTGATAAGAGCCAAGAGAAAACCACTGGCATTAAGATATTTGCTGATGTTCTGTACTCCACACAAACATGACAGCAGAAAGCAGCTTTGATGAGCCAGGCACCCCACACACCAGGTTGTACAGGGAGCACCATCACCTGGCTTCAGAGCAGTCTTACCTGTCACCTTTGGTCTTTAATCAGCTTTCTATTGCCTGAAGGTAAAAGGGGGAGGCAGAGTCTGAGAGAAGATCCTTTTATTTCCTGACAATCTGGAAATGAACTATTGAAAGCACTCTCTTGGCCCAGTTTAGCCCAGCCTGCAACATCTAGAGCAACTTACAAGTAAGAAGTGCATGACTGTGACACCCACGGAGGCTCAGCTACCACATCGGGCTAACCAGGTGACTCAACACTGACACGCTCTAGGAGTAGAACCATCTAGCTTCTGGACACGAGGGGGCTTTCCCACTGAATACAGGCTTCACCTTTCAGAAAGAAAGAACCTGCAAGTCTGAGTGTGCACATTCAGCATAGGCCAAACTCCTGGGATGTCCAAACTCTTCAGAATGTCTCCTTTGGTACTAAGGCTGGGCAGGAGGGAGGGCCAGCAGTGTTCCTTCATTCTCTACTTCCTACACCCAACTGTTAGAGGTTTTTTCCAACATAAACATTCCAATAAATTTTATTTATTTATTTATTTTTTAGTTTTTGGCAGACATCTTTGTTTGTATGTGGTGCTGAGGATCGAACCCGGGCCGTACGCATGCCAGGTGAGCGCGCTACCGCTTGAGCCATATCCCCAGCCCTCCAATAAGTTTTCTATAAATATTACTAAAACATCCATAGTCAAGAATTCCTGGGTAAGACAGATTGGAACTCTGACCTTCCCTCCCTCTCAAACACCACCAAAATGGCAGGAGGGAACATGGCAGAGGCATAGTGAACAGCAAAAGGGGCAAAATCACAAAGCTAGACAGGTTGGAAGCAGACTAGGCAGACCGGGGAGACCGAGGCCATGCTGGTCACTGGCTCAGCAATGGGAGACCCAGGTGGAAGAGACGATGGAAGGTGGAAGCAGGAAGGACAGGCAGGGTGCTTGCTCATTATCAGACAAGTGCTTTTAATGGATGCAATTTTTATTGAACTCAGGGGCACTCGACCACTGAGCCACATCCCAGGCCTGTTTTGTATTTTATTTAGACAAGGTCTCACTGAGTTGCTTAGCACCTCACTTTTGCTGAGGCTGGCTTTGAACTTGTGATCCTCCTGCCTAAGCCTCCAGAGCCCCGGAGAGGACAGGCATGTACCATCTAACTTCTGGACACAAGGGGGCTTTCAGAAAGCACCTGGCCAATAATGTTTTAAAACACTTTATCTTTTAGACATATTCTGAAGAAACTCATAGGCAAGAAATCTGGGCTGGGGCTGTAGCTCAGTGGCAGAGCACCTGCCTTGCGCATGTGAGGCACTAGGTTTGATCCTCGGCACTACATAAAAATAAATAACATAAAGGCATGTTGTCTGCCTACAATAACAAAAAAAATTTTTTTTAATCTGGAATTTGCTTTAAAATAATCCATGTTTTTTAAAATAAGTGTGTGAGGTGGAGGAAATGGATGAAACAAGAATAAAGTTGATTTTCCTTGGGAGCCTGTAGCATGTGGGGGGTCATTATATTCTTCTGCCTTTGTGTGTACTTGGAACATCTCCATAATGAATCTTTCCTAAAGCAACAGCAGTCAAGCCCTGGTATCCCCAACCTCAAACATGTCTCCCACGAGCGTTCAAGTTTACTTTATAAGGGTACAAGAGTAGGTCCCTCATTGGAAAACAGCAGATGGAGCTGAGGAACACACAGGCCTCCCCACTTTATGAGGAAAGTTGGGGCCCAAGAAAATGACCATGTAAAAGCTAAAGCCTGCAAAGGGATCGATAACAGGAGAAAAAGCATGGCTTTACAGTGAACATAATATTTTTGTTAAAACATTAAAAACCATATAGGGAAATGAAGAAATAGTAAAACTATTTAGTCCCCTGTATTTAAGACAATGTAAATACTGGCATCCAGTGTTTCTGGGTCAGCTCCCAGTGTTCTGCCCTTGGAGCGCTCAGTGTTGTGCAGGATCTCCAGGCCCATTGCTGCCAACGGACACACTCCCTGCTTCACACCCACTTCCTGTATGGGGGGCAAGCCTACCTTCCCCTTCCTCTGGCTGCTTACCTGGAATTTCCCCAACAGCAGCCTCATCTGTCTGCATGCACAGCTCAACCTACTGTGATTTGACTCCCTACAGTCAGAGGAGTGTGGTGTTTCTGCCACACTGTTAATTTCTGCTGTGACCAGTTAGGAGAAATTCAGAGATCTCTAGACACAGCATCAATTCCCTATCCCAAAGTCCCTGTGAGGCAGAGTTTGCAGCTGGGTGTGATGGCAGCTGCTGGGGTCCAAGCTATCAGGAGGCTGAGGCAAGAGAATCCTGTGAGTCCACAAGTTCCAGGCCAGCGTGGGCGACATGGAAAGAGTACAACTCAAAAAAACCAATAGTAACAATCATAAGTTTTAAAAAGTGAAATAAACTCTATCCATCGGCTGGCCTGATAAAAAGTTGTGTTTAATGGTTTAAAAAAAAAGTTTTCACCTTTTCATTCAAAACATTTGTATCCATTAAAGTGATACAAGCATGCTATTTAGATACATAGTAGCAAATGCAAAACCGGAAGAGGTCTCCTCAGGAAAGGGAAATAACACCAATGGGGTTTTTGATAATAGCCTTATCAAACTCCTCTTTTAATATACAAGAGACCTTGATTTTTTTTTTTTAATCAAGGGAACATCTATGTTCCCCCCACACACAAAGAGGACTGTATCCTTACTAGCATGTGTCCCTGCCTCATTGTTGACATTCCTAAATACGGAAATAAACTCCCCTCTGACCACTTTCTAGCTTTAGAGGTTCCTCTTGCCAGATCCAGCTGCCCTTCCTAGAGAAACACCTGTTACAGTATTTTTCTCCTGAGCTAAGAGGAAAATGTTAAGAGAGGGTACTATTCTCCATTTAAATCACAGGGCTCTAGAAAGATTGGGGCCAACTGAGCTTTTTTTGGTTTTGTTTTTTGAAAGCCACATGTGGTAAGAAACTTACCACATTCTTTGTAATATCAAAGCTAGAAATAATCTACAAGTTAAAAAATAGTCCATTCAAAGCAAGCAAGAGGGAAGCTAGCACTGAAACCCTCAGCTTGGGGTTTAATGCTCAGCTGCCCCTCCCTCCTTCCTCAAATAAAAGTAATAAAGCTATTTTCAGCCAGCCCCAAAGCTAATGTCCATTCTCTGCTAACATGTCGTACAAAAGGAGGGTAAGACCTAGCACAAAAGTAAGAGGAATATATAAACAGCTTATACTGAGAGGTAAACACTTCCTGAGAACCTGGAGACCATTAGATGAACACGGGGATACAATGGCATATATCCAACTAGAAGTCTAACTTCTTAGGGACAAGCCACATGAGGGACAGCCTTATCCTGTTACGGTCTCACTGCTGGTTTCTAGTGAAACACAAGCAAACTCGAAAATTCACAAGCATTGTCCCACAACTTTTTAAGGACAGGAACCATTACCACAAGTGTTTATTTACTTATTGTTCTGATAATGCGTTTCAAGATAAAATAACCGGCCAGGAATGGTGCTGCACACCTGTAATTCCAGCAACTTGGCAGGCTGAGGTGGGAGCATTGCAAGTTCAAGGTCAGCCAAGGCAGTTTAGTTGAGAGCCTGTCTCAAAATGGGCTAGGGCTATAGTTAAGTAGTAGGACACCCCTAGGTTCAATATCTGGCACAAGAGTTAAAAGCCTAGAGTTTTTAAGTGAAGCTGAGCTATATGTACACACGAAACTTACCATTCTTTGTAATATCAAAGCTAGAAATAATCTACAAGTTAAAAAATTGTCCACTGAAACAGGAAAAAACTTAGGCTGTTAAAGACAATGCATAGATGTACATGCGCTAACACAAAAATGTCTAGGTTATGCTATTAAAAGATGCCAAGATGCTACCATGGTCCCTACACAGCAATGTCATGTAAATTCTGGGATCACAGAAACCTAAGAGTGGGGGATGGTGAAGCTGGAAAGGAGTTTTGACTTGTGAAGATATTTACATGCTCCTCAGAATTACATAAGGCTAACTGACCAGGAGCCAGATGATCCAAGTATGTCAAACAAACACCAAGACAACAAGTTTTCTAAAAATTGTAGGCTTTTTTTATTCAGTTAAGAGGTAGACAGATGAACATGGAAGGCTGTCCCATTTAACTTACCCAAAGTACATATTCCACTTCATTCATGCATCCCACACCACCAGAAATCTTAATAACCAAGATTGCCAGAAGGCTTTTCTTCCTACTTCTAAGCAATAATGGTCAAAGAAGTCACTACTAAATGTTCACTGTGTCCAAAGAACCCTCTAAGAAGTTCCCACACACACGGGGAGAACCTGCCACAGCAACAGGAGGCAGAGTGCCAATGACTACTTCTAGGAGGAGACTACAGGGGAAGCTTCAGCTAACTGGTTTGCTGTTAGATCCCTGTGCGTGTTAGGGCAAAAGCTGGTGAAGCCAACGAAGCAGAGGATGCTCTGCAGGATGGCTCTGCATGGTTTTCTCTCTCTCTCTCTCTCTCTCTTCTATTTACACACACACACACACACACACACACACACACATTATCTTCAGAAGACAACATTAAAACATAATGGAATTGAAGCCTGATACAAAAAGTAGAGAAATATGTACAGGAATTCACAGCCCAAAAGGAAAGGGGACCTCAGAAGAAACCAGTGGAAACCTGGCTATTTTACATAGCTAATTTTGAGACAAGTCATATTTAGCACAAAAGCAAGTATAGCATAATTAACACTTCCCTCCCATAGCTCCCAAACTTTAAAAAGACTCTCGTCAGTCTTCGGTAACACTGGAATCATTCTTAAATGATGACATAATAGAAGAGTGCCATGATAGCAGCACTGATGACGCCAGAAATCGGGACCGTAACAAACCAGGCCATAAAAATGTTTCGAAAGAGCCGCCAGTCAACAGCCTTCTTGGACCGGAGCCAACCAACAGAGACAACAGAGCCCACCTAGAAGAGAGACAGGGGAAGGAAACTGGTTAACATGCCCAACATATTTTGGCAAAGATACCCAGACAATTGGACAAGACCAACTCCATAAAAGCTAGATCCAAATGCATTAAGATTACTACTCATGAGAAGATGAAGACAGTATGAGAATCCAATCAATGAATCAGTGTTAACTACCCTAAAACATGGTCTGAAAACAACACTTCCTCTTCTCTCCTGAACTACAAGAATCTAATGAACTCACACTGCTTTTAGATTTTCTAAAGACCTTCTAGAGGGTGAAACACTATAAGCAAACTTGAAAATTCACAAGCATTGTCCCACAACATTTTAAGGACAGGAACCATCACAACAGTGTTTTTTATGTATTGTTCTGATAGTGCGTTTCAAGATTGAATAACCTGCCAGGAACGGGGCTCACACCTGTAATTCCAGCAACTTTGCAGGTTGAAGAAGGAGGATTGCAAGTTCAAGGTCAGCTAAGGCAGTTTAGTGAGAGCCTGTCTCAAAATGGGCTGCCCCCATACACCCCACGAGAGAAGGATGACTTGGCAGGTTCCACATAGCACCAGCCTCCATTTCTCTGGAGAAGCCCTGTTCTTCCTTTTCCCGCAGTTACAGTCACTCAAAGACTTTCAGACTCACCAAGCTTCTCCACACTGCAGCTCTGAAGGCCCTGACATGTGCTTTCTGTAAGAAAACTGCCCAAAAGCCCAGCAAGGATCCCAGGCTTCTTATAACCAGGGCATCAGCCTCCACGCAAAGCAGCAAAAGCGCCCCCACCCCAGCTATCCGGCAGGCCATTCTACTAAAACACATCCAAATTACTGTGAACGGCTTCCCCACAGAGAAGGAACATACGGTGCTCAGAGATACCAAAAAAAAGAAAAAAAACTATAGACTGCCATGATGGAGGATTAAGTAACAAAGAGGTCAGGAGCCAGAGGTCACAGCTAGCACCACAGAAGAGAAATTTTCGATTATTTGAGGAAAATACATATTTAACTGCTTAAAAAAGTAAGAATAGGCAAGAAATTATAAAATGTAAGCCTATATTCTTATAGTTATCTGTTCTAATTTGTGAACTCTTCAAGACTCCAACTGCACAAAACTTACTAAATCAAAATATCAGAAGTGAAATAAAACACCCTACACACTAATAGAAACACCTGGAAGACGTACTGAATTCACTCCACACTTACTTTGCAATGTGTTGTGCTGATGGGAAGGCCAATATTTGAAGCGATCACCACAGTGAGGGCAGACGCCAGCTCAATACTGAAGCCACTGCAAACACAAAAAGACTGTCACAAATTCAGCTAACACTTCAAGATAGCAATGTGCTTTGTTCTACTGAGTGATAACCCTCCCCGGCCCCCCCAACATCATTTTAGCCAATATCCATCATCCACTTTAAATTGGGTCATGGGATTCCCACTTTCCCAATCCTGTAACGACTGAGAGTTTAAGTTCTTTGGGAATTAAGTGTGTGCGCGTCGGGGATGGAACCCAGGGCCTTACACATGCTTGGCAAACACCCTGCCACTGAGCCACATCCCCACCCCACCCCTAAATTCCATTATTAAAGTTTTTAATTTTGTTTTGAAGAATTTGGTAAATACCAGTCTTAGCTCCCAAGTAAAAACAAATAAATAAAATCCAGGTATACACAGCCATCCACCATTAGCATAACACATCTTCCTCTGAAATTTTGTTAGATCATTGAAGGTGAGTAAATAAATATTCAACCAACAGTAAGTAAATCTAAAAGGTTCACACCAACGATGAGAATACCATCAAAAAAAAAATCACACAAACTTGGTTAGTCTCATGTTAGCAACATATAGTATTACATGTCTTTTCTTTTTCTAATTGGACACAATACCTTAATTTGTTTTTATGTGGTACTGAGGATCGAACCCAGGGCCTTGCACATGCCAGGTGAATGCTTTACCGCTGAGCCCCAGCCCCAGCCCCAGTACTACATGTCTTAAGAAATAAATACTAGCCTCTCTTAAGACCTGCTTTTTCTGCTTACCTAGAGGGTGTGATTGGTGTCAGATCCTTCCCCATGGTCTGGATAACTCTCCTTCCCCAAACCCACAGTCCAGTGCAGATGCCAACACCACCATAAAGTAGAAGCCATATTGGTACCGCCTCTTCGGAAGAAACATCCCCGGTGACATAAATCAGATACAGAGCAACCAAAGGACCAATGGCATTGCTGGAAGAAAAAAGGGGCACAGATGACTCTTAAGGCAGAACTAGATCTGACTTACTAGGTTGACTAAGGTCATTCATCAAGTCCATTTAGCAAATCAACCTTTTTCCCAAAGAAAACCAATGGAACACCAACATACACACAGAAGAAAATGAAATCTGTGATGGGGAAGGTGCCGTGCGGCTGGCGGCCTCCTCCCTCCCACAGGTAGCTCTTGGGTTCCAATGAACTTTATAACCACAGAACTAAGGCTCACCCACCCAGAATTCCATTCAACAGGGGAGGGATTTTAAATTTTTCATCTTACATCCCATAATTTACTAAAAATCTACATCCTATCTGGATAGATAAAGGTCTCTCTGTGAAACACATCTGTATTTATCACATACAGAACAATTAAAAACATTCTCTGAAGACCAAAACTTCCTTGTTTTATTAAGTCAATGATTGCCGCTGCCTCATCTTGCGTGTGGCAGAAGTACCACCCCAAGGATGTAAAAAGGACAAGACAGGTTTTTTTTTTTCTTTTTCTGATGCTGGGGATTGAATGTGAGGGCCTTGTGCATGTGAGGCAAGCTCTCTACCAGCTGAGCTACATCCCCAGCCCTAAGACAGTTTTAAAATAGAGGTGGTAAGACTCAAAGTGGACTGACCTGACGTCATTGCCACCATGGGCAAACGACCCGAAGCAAGCTGTGAGGATCTGTAGGAACTGGAAGAGGATAGAGACTTCAGGCTTGTCCTGGTCAGACCATTCTTCCAGAGAGCCACTACTTCCTTTTCTGTCGCCCAGACCCATCTCAGCCTTGACACTACTCAAGTCCATCTCAGATGCCGAGTGGAGGTCAGACACAGCATTGCAGTAACTGGTATAACTGTCCATTCGAATACGCTTCTTGGTGTCTGCATTAGGCCACGTCAGCTTCTCCATTTCTTCACCCTTCTGTTCACCTTCTTTGGCACGGAATGAATCCAGGGGCATGCCACAAATTGCCATGGTGTAGGAAGTGTAGCTGTTATTGCGCCTCAAGGGCTTGTCTCCGGAATCTCCCATGCAGTCTCCTACCTTGGCCAGATGCAATTTATGGAGCAGCTCTTTATACAAGCCAGAATCTTTATGCACAGTGTGATACTGGTAGTGGCCACTGGAGTTTATCTGGTTGCTGACGGCATGACTAAACTGAACGAGGTTCCCATTAGGCAGCTGCACTGTGCCTAGCCAAGACCAAAAAAGGTAACATTCATTACCAAAAGCACCAGGTCTAGACCAGCAAGCCTGCTCACCTGTGCAGATAACTGCAGAACTCTGGAAGGTGGACTCACCATTCATGGTGCCGTCAATGCTGGTCTCCTCCTTCAGGTCCATGCTGGGGAGCCTCTCCCGCTCTGGAGCCTCCTCCAGATCCCCAAGTTTGAAGGACACTGTTCTCTCCTCCACCACGGTCCGGAGGGGCACAGTGGCAGGCCCCACCTCAGACACGGGATTCCTATTTTCGACATCACTGAGAGACAGCTTTGTTTCTTCATGGTCTTCTTTCAAGCTATTCTTTTTTTCCATTAAGGGGCTTTCAGAAGGACTAGACTTTATTTCTCCTAGGAGAAAAAACGGGTCAGGGTTAGCTTGGTATTGACCATACTACCTTCTTCCTCCGAACCCCCATTCTTCCATCCCCAAAAACTTATCTCACAATAAGAACATGCATAAAGTTTTGTTAAAACACAGGTTAACTGTCCTGCCTGCTTTACTGTCTGCCAGGAACTCAACTTTCACTTGGGACGGGGCTAGCCATGCAGCACTCCCTCTAGCAGGAGTCCCAAATTTTTGCTGTAAAGGACCAGGTATTAAATATTTTAGGTTTTACATAAAGTTTCACTCCACACTCATGGTCTTTAATTTTACAACCTTTCACAAATGTAAAAACACTTCTTCACTCCTTCAGTGAAAGGTAGCTCGAGCTTGAGCTGAAGATCAGATGAAAAGTTTGACTGCCCTCAATTCATGTTCTTTTTTGTGTGTGTACCAGGGATTGAACTCAGGGGCACTCAACCACTGAGTCACATCCCCAGCCCTTTTTTGTATTTTATTTAGAGACAGGGTCTCACTGAGTTGCTTAGCACCTTGCTTTTGGTGAAGCTGGCTTTGAACTTGTGATCCTCCTCCCTCAGCCTCCCAAGGTGCTGGGATTACAGGCGTGTACCACGGTGCCCAGCCTAATTCATGTTCTTTATTAAAAAAAAAAAAAAAAAATTCCCCAAATTTCAGTTTGAGTTCAAGCAAAGTGACACAGCTCAATGCAGGAAACTAAAGATGACACCTTTCACAAATACCTGCATAAAACAGAGATGTGCCTATAATTCTAAATCCCACAGCCAGACAGGAACACTTCCTGTCCAACACTTGGCTCAGGCATCTCAGTCAAACCAGACTAGTGGTAAAGCAAGATCTGTCTCATCTTCTCCCAGACTGAGGAAAAATGAGGTCAGGGAGTCCTGAAAGCCTCGCTGCCTGCCGCACAGCCGAGAAGCAGAGCTTCTCAGAGGCTCCAGAGTTCGACTGCAGTGACACAGCAATCTTCCCAGTCACCGCAGTCTGTGCACCCCTTGCTGCAAAGGACAGCAATCACATCAGGAATGCAGCATTTGTAGAGATGGAAGGGCAGAATATAATTTTTAAAAGATCACAGCCCATAAGGAAGATTTAAAAAAGACTAATACTAATCAAAATTTACTCAGTATTTAATTAGCAGCAATAGTGTGTTATAAAATGCCACTAAAATGATTCCTGCATGGGACACCTGGAAATGTTTACTATAGAATTTTCCATTTAAAATCTCTTACTTTGCCAATACTATCCAAATAGTAGGTTATAACAAGTGGTTTAAAAAAAAAAACACAATATTACTAGTTAAACTTTTCTGTTACAATTATTACTTACGTTCAATTTTTCTCTTCATCCTGGGACATACAAAGAACCAGACGATAAGGGCACAGAAAACTGCACATCCCACCGAGATGAGGATGGTACCCCACAGAGGAAGTTTGTCAAAGCCCAGCACTAGGAGATAAAATGGTGCATCTTGAAAACCCCAGGGCAACAGCCCCTGCAATAACGTGCAAACCCTCCTGTGGGACAGAGGCTTCCCCAAGCCAGCCCGTCACCCTGGACAGCTGTAGCTAGCTTTAATTCCAGAGCTTATTATGCCTTGGCTACGTGAATCTGGGAGAAAACTCCAATGACCATCTTAACACCACACCAGTTTTGGCCCAAACACCAGCAGACTCAGCTTTTCAAATACTGCCTTTTTCTTCTTTTTCTTGGCTTTCCTCTGACGACCTGTGACTAGCTATGAAACAGAAGCATTCTACTCCCCACACCTCATTCCTGAAGTCCACCTGCCACACGGTTCATCTGCACACACAGATTACACAGTTTAGAAAAAAAGGGCCTGGCACCCACACATATCATGCTGAAATAACTCTGGGAAAGTCACCACGTCTACTGTACAGGCCTTGAGAAAAGCCTGATCAACTCTCTGAAAACATTATCAAGCTAAAGTAAGAAAAACAGGGACATCTACCTACAACAATCAGTTCAAGAATATTTTAAATAATTTTTTTCACAAAGGAAAAGTCTAGTAACAATTTCACTAACAAGCCAAACCTGAGAGAGAATTGCCACCAATACTTTGCATGTGGCTCAAGGATCAGTAAACTGAGTCCTCACCTGCTTTTCACTTGCATACCAACAGGCTCCAAGCAACTAGCCTCTACTAGAGAGGGAAGGGTGGCCCAGTAACAGCACTGCTCAAATCCAAGATATGCTATGAAAACCTGCATGCAGCTCAGACAACAGCTTAGTGACTGCTTGGTTTGTGTCACTTTGCTCATTAGGTATTAAATTACTTTTAAAAATGGAAATTCTATTGTCCTCCCCAACAATTAGCCTTTTAAAAATCAGATATAAATTGAAGTCCCTTCACAACTAAAGTTCTATGGTGGCAGTAAGACTGCATGCATTTTAATCCTGCTTTCAGTTTTCCTGCACTTCAGCACACAAACTAAAACATACATGAGCCTCATGGGAGATTTTTTGGTTTTACATGAAGAACTCCATGCGCAATGGAATGGAAATTCAGCATGCAACCCTTCACCTGCACTATTTAGTAAGGAGTCTTGTATTCTCCAAGATCAATAGTCTCATAAAGTTATCTATTTCTTTACTGATATTCCAATAATAAAGGCAAGGTTAAAAATACTGTTCGTTCCATGTTTTGGTCAGTGACTTATTACTTCAGTGAGACTTTAAAAAGCAAGTCACAACCCATTAGTCTTAGTAAGACACAATAAGCATTTAAAATATTTTTAAAGGATATCAAGGTAACAATAAATGGCTTCACACTGTTTTAGCTGTCTGTCTCTCTCTACAACCACATATACATGCAGGTGCCCCCGGCGGCAACAGTGTTTTTCTTCCAGTGGGTCAGTCAAATATTAAAAGCCACAACTTACAGAGTCATGAATCCTGCAGCCAAGTAAGCCTAGATGCCAAAGCTACTCTCCTGTCTGACAAGGTCTAAGTTACCAGCTTCTTGGAGTTGCTAATTAAACAGGAGCACCATAAGTTAACTCATGCCTTGCCTCAGTCCCATATAAAAGCACCCGTTTCGACCTTTACGCTCTCACATATTACTTTTCCTCTGAGCTGCTGGGATTCTTCTTCCAAGTGTACTTAGACCAGGTGTTAAGCATCCCAACTCTTCTCATTCAAGCAGATTCAGGGGAGTAAATTTAGCACTTAGAAACAAAAGTGGCTCCACTTGGGAGAGAAAAACGATATCCAGCAGGCCAGTCCTAAATGACTGATTATTGAAGAACAGATATAACTAGTGACTCTTCAGTGGTTGAGGTATCAATTCCAGCATTTTTAACATAGATAAGAAAAAGGGAGGGAGAAGGTCATATATTATCGGTGGATCCTGTGAAGACTAAAGAGGAAAGGTCTGTAGTGATTTAGAATCTGAGCAGGTCTCTTTTGGTTGAAAAACTATCTAGGTTAACTCAGCATACACTAGCCTGCAGCCTTCTGAAATGGGCGCAGGCCAGCCACCTTCTAGGAGATTTCAGCCCTGTAAAGCAAAAAGGGGTAAATTGGGCATTTAATGCAAGTTTTGTAAATAACTTTAAATTCACATTTAAGTATTTTGATATGTACTTACACGGTGCCCCAGTATACATGATGGAAAAGAGGTTTATTCCAACTGTGCAGGCATAAAAAACTGGCAAAGCTCGCAAACCATTGGGAACTGGGTCTGCCTATAAAACATTAAGATCAGTATCTTACAAGTTGTACAAGTTAACCCATTTCCACAGAATCGTTAACAGGGCAGCTTCCACTGTAATTCCCAAGGCCAGCTGGGCTTTCCTGCCCTTGCTCCTGGAGGTCTCTATAAGATAAAGTCAATTCCATCTTCTGCTCCAAAATGGCCATTTTTCTGCTATTTTTAATAACAAATCTACCTCCACTACTGACTGCTAACATCCTGAGTCATCAGTTCCAACACTTATGTTTCTAAAGCCTTGAAGTCCACAGGTAAACCCAAGCCGTGCCTGAAGACGCACTCCACCTAAGAGCTGAAAGAGAGAGCTACGAGATGTTAGAATACTGGCTCCCCCAAACTTTACCTTCAATACTAAAAACTAAAACAGGGGGCTGGGCTGGGGCTCAGTGGTGGAGCACTTGCCTAGCATGTGAGACACTGGGTTCGATTCTCAGCACCACTTATAAAAAAAGGTCCATCGACAACTAATAATAATAAAATATTTTAAAAATTAAAAAATAAAAACTAAAACAGGTAGAATACCTGCAATAACCACCTTATCTAAATATCTGATACAGCATAATTAACATTTCCAAAGTGGAAAGATAAATATCAACTGTGCACTACTCATCCTAGTTGAGTCTACAACTATTCTGGGCTGGCATGGTGGCACCCCCCTGGAATCCCAGTGACTCAGGAGGCTGAGGCAGGAGGATCGCAAGTTTGAAGCCAGCCTCAGCAACTCGGCATGTTCCTTTCTCAAAATAAAAAACAAAAATGATTGGGAATATAGCTCAGTGGTAAAGCACAGCTGGGTTCAATCCCAAAAACCTGTTCTGAGCACTGAAATACCGGAGGAAGTAAGACCAAAAGCCTGTCCTCAAAGAGGAGACATTCATAATCTAGTACAGAATACTGCACCACACTAGCAAACGCAGTGTAGAAAAAATAAGAGATAAAATAAGAGGACAAGACAGGAGGAGGAGCACATTTCATTTGAAGGGGGCAGGGAGTGAGCCTCAGCTGAGTGAGTTTCAGGGTATGAAAGGAGCAAGCGACCCAGCAGGGGAGTGGGGAGGACAGAGGTATGGGCAAGTGGAAAGGCCCCGAAGCAAGGTGAACAATTCACCAGGGTGTCCACTTTTCGACAAAAGGCTAACTTCGAAGAAAAGAAAAAAATAAGCCCAAGGCCCAACTCTGAATATTAAAACACAATAAGGTTCCAAAGACTTCACTGGGGGTTTCTCTCAAAAAGATTTTCAAGTTCTATTTAGTAATAGGGCATCTGCAAATCAAACTGCAACTGACTCGTCAGAGTTACGAAGTCGCCTATACATTCAGGTTCAGCTTCTTCACAATTACGTATTCCCTGAGGTAAAGAAACAGTAATCACGGAGCTGGAGACAGGGTAGAGAAAGAGTAATCCTACTCATAGTACATTATGAAACATGAGTTCATGGTTTAAAAACAAAACTGACAATTTTAGGAAAAAGGTAAAAGAAAAGTCTCTTCTTTTTACTCTCTCTCCAACCTCCTTCCAGTCACTTCCAAAAGGGAAGCAGTGAGAGTGATTTTATGAAATAATACTTATACACCATGAGCTACTCAGCACACATTTAAAACTTTACTTGGAAGTGATGTGACTATCTTATAATTTAGTTATCATTTAGTTAGCAAATGGATCTTCACATTTCCTCTCCCCAGAAGAGTTTATGTTTTACATATTAAAGGGAACATATCCTAGAGAAACTAAATATGATTCCAAACAAGTAGAAGAATGCTAAAAGCTTGATTTTCTTTGGCTAGAACTTAAATACAACAGGAAAACTTCATCACTACTGTTTTTGTTGAGTGTCACATTCCTTCACAGAAGAACCCCCACCTCTACTCTGCCTTTTCCTACTCAAAGGCCAACACCTTTGGGGGAAAAAAAAAAAGTCAGAAAATTTTCAAAAAGCAGTATTTTTTAAAATAAAAAAAAAATATTTTAACCTCAACTTTAAAGATCAAATTTTAAGAGTGTGAATGTATCTTAACAGTCAAATATGGAGACTGTAGAGCTCGACACCTCAAAGCTTACTAGTCTAAGGATGTTTTCTTGAAACTTAAAATCAACAGCAACCACAAATGTTCATACTCATCCACTCATTACTGACTCGCATGCAAGAGTACAAGCAGGTGAGTGTTGTGTGTGCAAAGATGCTCAGGGTAAGCACTGAATGGAAACCTCATTCCAATCGTCCTTGCCCATGCCCATGCCCACACCAATAGATATATGTGGCTATAAAATTAATACATCTAACTTAAGCTCTCAGTAGAAGTACCTGGCTTGCATTCCTCAAATGAGGTATCAAAATCCCTCACTGCTCCTCAGAGCAGCTCCACCTACCCTTCAGGAAGGGCCTATTTATTTTGTGGAGATCAGACACACAATTTGTCTCCAGAATCAGAATGATCTACTTCCCAATAATCAAAAGGGCCTATATAAACCTTTGTAAAGCAAGAATTCTTAACAAAGGATGCTGTTCATTTTTCTGGCTTTTCTGGTATGCATTGGGATAGGGGATTCTAGAAAGAACACAATACTCTGGGATCCTGATTTCTGGTGAGTTTCAAATGTAAGCACATCACCATGTACCACAGATGTGGGCAGTGGGAGTATAGGTACCAATCATACCATCATACCGGCTTCCTGACTGAAACTGCCGAACTTAAGAGCCAGTACCAATGAACTTTCTACTGTCACTTTATATCAAACTACAAATGTTCCAAGTATTAAACTAGTGTGTTCTGCCAAATCTCAGGCTGTGGATAAGGGTAACTGGAGAATCACTTTCCCAGTTAATAGAATTTTTATAAGACAAACCCAAATTCTTCCCCAGAGAATTTCAGAAATACAGAAGACAAGTAGAGGTCTGAATTCGTTCTTACCCTTGGGATTAAGCTGTCTATCTCTCTTCACTCAGATTTCTACAGTTTAGGGGCATTTTTTTAAGTGAATAACAATGGGCTGTTAAGAACATTCACCTTAGAAAAAGGGCAACTTTGTTTCCTGAGAAAAATGCATTTATTCTTACTGTAACTCAGTCCAATGTCAATGTAATCCCTTGTTGTCTATTTGAGGCAGCATCGGACTTCTTGATAGAAGAAATGCTACTAGGTACCTCAAAAGGGATTTTCAAATACATAGGAAATTAAATGGTTGCACAATCTGCCACCATCCCCCGACCCCCACAAAAACTTATCTTTATTGGTTCTTTTTTAACTATAGTGAGAATCACAAGAGGTTGAAGCCTCATTTAGAAATTTTATAAACTGGTTCCAATAGTCAGCACTGTGGAGACCCATTTAGCTGTAGCCACGGGATGTTGTGACTTGTTTTGTTGTGACTTGTTGGACCCCAAGCTTACAATTTCAATTGTCCTGAAAACAATGGTGTTTTCAATGAAGTAATAACCTACATACAGCTGGCAAAGCCACCTTGAATGTTTCCTTACTTTTTTTCCCTTCCAAGCCTGTTCCTAACATGCCCCATGATACTCGACTTTTTCCTTCCTGAATGTCTTCTTAAGTATTAAAAACGCTTCTTTCATGCAACTCCTCAACACACAAGAGATGCATAGAACAAAGAACTTTTCAAGGCCACATAACTACATACCAATCACATCTTCAAGAATGTCACCCAGTGTGAAAAACAGACTGAGTGTGACCCCTGGAAGGTCACAACAGGGAGGAGAAAGATTACCTTGCGGAGGATGAATGCACGCACAAGAAAGAACAAGATTCCAGACATGATACCAGAAAGCAGTGGAGAGATGAACCAAGACATCACTGGAATAAAAAGAGGAAGGATAAATGTAAACTAGTGAAACTCAGTAAATACTTTAAATGTTAAATATGCTCCATTTCAAAACTCAAAATCTGCCTATTTTACACCATTTACAGATATATGCAAAGCCAAGGTAACACAGGACCAGAACAAAAATTAAGCCATTCAGGATTAAACATACCAATTTTTATCAGTTCAGACCACTTGACACCCTTTTGCCCCTTTGCCACGAGGGAGAAACCAATGGTTGCACCAACAATACAATGGGTCCCAGAAATGGGGAGCTTCAAAAATGAAGCCACTAGTTGCCACACAGCAGAACCTGAAACAGAACCAAATTTTAGTAAGTAAATGGAAAATACATGACACACACACACAAATAGTGATATGCATATGTACACACATATCATTATGTAAGTAATATTATGAACGAAATAATCTGAAAGGTTCAGCACAAAAAATGGAACCACCCATGATACAAATTCGCTCACCCACCACAATACATAAAAAGAACTCACCAAACATCGCGCTGACTGAGCCAGCCATGAGCAGATGCTCTTGGCTCGAGTTGTACATGTTCACGTCAATCAGGCCCTTGCGGATGGTCTCGCTCACCTTCGCCCCCAGTAAGACCGAGCCCACAGTTTCGAAGATGCTGGCGAGGATGCAGGCTTGCTTCAGGGTCACCACGCCTGAGCCCACAGCTGTGCCAAACGAATTTGCCACATCATTGGCTCCCACGGAGAAGGCCAAGACGAAGGCGATGATGAAGCCCAGGATGAGCATCCACAGGAACTGCTGCGCCGGGGGAACAGACGCGGTGCTGGCTATCAGCGTCGCCACGGTAGATGCCATGCTCTCGAGTAGTGGTTGGATTGATAAGAGAATTACTGAGCGGCGTTCAGGGTGTGTAAACAGAATATGAGGTATCAAAATCGCTATAATAAATAGTATATAATATATAACATTAAATACTGTAAACTAGGGCGCAGGCGAGCCGGAGTCACTGCTATACGCTGCGGGAGGGCGTCTGTTGTCTGGGGTGTCTTTGGCTCTGCAGGGCTACAAGCGCGGCGCAGAATCCCATGGCGGATTA